TCCGATAAGTCGTGAAGAAGATTTACTTTTTTCTAAAAAGCACATCTATCCAGGATTATATCAACTTGCTCTAAAATATCTAACGGTGCCTGCGACATCGGCTTCTATCGAACGCATTTTCTCGCAAAGTGGTTTCTGATGAGACCACGTCGAGCATCATTAACGGCAAAGAATGTGTGTCTACTAACTTTTCTAAAATGTAATAAAGTTTTACTTTGATTCCATCTACTTGAAGGTTGATAATACATAAATAAAAAAATGTTTTAACATTTCGCTCGGTATGTTTCTACATAGGCTCGGTACTCAAAGCCTTGGTACTCGTACTCGACTCATACTCGAAGGTTCGGTACTCGTACTCGACTCGTACTTGAAAAATCCCGTTCTTGCCCAGCTCTGAAATGGATAGTAGTTCGGAAAATAAAAGGTGATTTTAAGGCTATTTTACTTCGTGCAAAGTCAGTAACGCGTTTGAACGTCTGGAATGTGACAAAAACATTCTGCTAAACGAGTTAGTTCTATGAAAAAATTTAAACGCACTCTAATGCGTTTTTTTCGCAGAAAAGGTTTGCCTGGGATACTTCTGATGTTGAGAAATAACCCGTAACTAGCCTTTTTCATCGGTTCACGTGTGGTTCGAGTTGTATTGTTATCTGTCTTTATATAGAGTTAAAAAGCGTGACAGGAACACGTAACATTGATGAAAGAATACTAATACACATGGCACACGTTATTTTACTTGACAGAGAAAAGGGCAAACGAAAAGTTTTCATTCTTTAACTTAAGTATGTTATCATCTGGTGCTGTTAGTATTATGAATAGTAATTGATGAAGAAGAAACATTATGATTTTATTCTGTTTAAAAATATTTCATATACGCATATATCTTGCACATATCATACACTGTGATTAAAAAGTTTACTCAGGACGGATAATGTTATTATGATAAAGTAAGTTTATTCACAGATGACTTTGCAACAATATATTTATCAGACTATTAGAAAGAATATATGTATATTTATTTATTTTTTTATCATTATATTTCTAATATTTAATTCACATAATGACAACATAGCAAATGACGTTTACAACTATTCGAATTTAACATCACTAATGACACCATTCGAAGAACTTGGCTCTGAGTCAACATTCTGTTGTACACGAGATACACTTCGTGAACAGTATGAATCAGAATATAAAGAACTTGAATATTATCATCTCAATGAACTCTACGTCCAAGATCAGCAGCCACCATTACCCTATTTTTATTCTTTATGGAAAACATCAGTACTTTTACCTCGTCTTTATACACCATGCGAACATAAAGTTATGATTAATTTATTAAATACATTTCATCAACTATGTAAATCAAATAATATCACTTATATGATATGTGATGGAACATTATTAGGATCATACAGAAATCATGGTATGTTTGTGCAAAGAAAGTTTCTAATTGCATGCTTGATTACTTATAAAAAGCAAATACTTAGTAAAAAGCAAATACTGCACTTATGGAGATTAAAATCAGCTCGAAATTATCCCAGTATTCTCAGAAAATTTATACTTTTAAGAGAATGAGAAGGATAGGATAGGAAGAACAAAAATAGTGCTTTTAGGAAGCGTTCAACGTCGACTTTCTATTTTCATCGCCATACACGAAGTATTAGAAGGAAATTTGAAGATTTTCACGCGAATGAGCATAAAATACAGAAAATGAAGGGGTCGAAGAACGATATAAAGACGAAAAACAAGGATTTGCGATTTTGTATGTCCTCTAAAGTTAGCAAAAACTTGACTGTTTCACCGGAATTTGACCTGTTGCATAATATTTCTAGAAAAGACGAATGAATTGAATTGAATGTATTTTGACTAACGATGTTACACAGTCAGGAAACCGTAAACAAGCGAAAAAGAAGATTTCGCTTACATAAGAGGCACTGTTACTGATAGTGAAACTGAAAAAATGAATCACAATACAGTGAGAGAAAAAGAGAAAGAATAACAATGATTCTTATGAACCACAATAATAGCAGGAAGAGCAAGAACGTACTAAAAATAATTTACATGATCTTTAAGAAGCATTTGAAATGCATTTGCATTGGCTGGCCGTGTGTGCTATTGAGGGAGGAAGATCATTCCACTGCTTAGCGGTGAAGGGTAAGAAAGAAGAAGATGAAGCTTCTGTGAAAAAATGTGTAGTAATAGCCTGTTTGTCATGCCCAAAACGATGTTTCGGGTTATGAGAAGGTATAATGAGATTAAGATGTAAAAGAGGACTTGTGCCATAGACAATTTTACAGAAGTGAATGAGTTTGAAACAGAGTCTTCGATTTTTGAGGCAATAAAGTTTTAATTTGGAATGTGGTGCTATCGGATCGATCGAGTAGTCTTTCATTATAACTCTGGCAGCCAAATGCTTCACGTCATCTAGAATAGGCAGATGTGATTTAAACGAACTGTCGTAAAGAATACAAGTATATTCAAGAACCGGCCTGACACATACTTTGTAAAGATGAAGACGGAGATATAGTGGTACGGTGCCGCACACTCTACAAAGAGAACCTAACATCGTTCTGCATTTAGCAGCCGTTTGATTAGCGATTTATTAGTGAATGCGCGAATTGTGACCTAAAGTTTTGGCAATAAATAAATGGTTGTTAGGATGCTCGAAAACCTTCGATCAAAACTAATGCTTTCTTCAGTACCTTTCAAGAGATGACCATATATTACAAGAAATTTGAAAAAATCAAGCTTTGTGAAAATTTATTACTTCTAAAGGGAAGCATTGGTTTTTATTAAGGGTATCCGCCCCTCCTCTTTTCTGAAAAAATTTCGAATTTTGAGCCGAGCATAGCCTAATGTGGAGGAAAGAGTGGGCTATAAAATGAGACCACTCCCAGCCCTCCGCAGCCTTTCTTCAGCAAGTTATGTATTTTTGAAGTTTTTCCTTCAAAGCCTAAAAAAATTCAATTTTCTAGTTTCATAAATTTTTCTCTTCTTTTCTGTACATTCAAATTCTTCTTACACATAGTCTCACAGAAGAATGTGTTTTCTTCACGATGAGATGCTTCTTAGAATTTTCTGATGGTTTTTTGTGGAAATGCAAACATCGCGGAAAATACCCTGGAAAAAGTGGCCTATGTACAAATGCGTTTTTTCTCCAAAACAATTCTTTTGCTATCAGGCTTCATTGTGTCACATTACAACCCCCGTTATATTTCATCTGATCGAGTTCAAAGTTTTACCAGAGGTACTCAAGGTCATAGCACAGAGGTATAATTTTGAAAATTTTCTTTTAGATCTTTCTTTACCGAGTTATAGGGTTCCTAAAACTGAAGAACTTGGCTTTTGAGACATTTTTCAGTATTTTTCCTATAACTCGACTAGGAAAGGTCTCAAAAAAGTTTCGCAAAAATTACCTCTGCATACTGACCTGGGATACCTTTGTTAAAATTTTGAACTCGATCGGATGAAATTTCAGAGAGGTCGTAATGTGACACAATGAAAAAGGGAGTTGTCTGAAAAACTGGTGAACGGCAATAGTTAAAAACTTGAAACAAAAACGAAAAAGTGCTCCATTGCGTTCCCAGTCAGTTTTGAAAATACGAAGCCCTGACGACTTTTAGTTTTTATTTCACAGCTTTTCTAAAGAAAGCCCAAAACGAGGGAAGGGGCACCCTTAAAACCTTTGAAGCATTCTAGAGACCACTAGATCACAGGTTGAAATTGGTTCATTCAATTCTTCTGGAGTACTAGACAAAAGGTCAGAACCTTAGTGAATGACCATAACTCGAACAGAAAGACCTATTGGCACAAATTCAGCCGCTTTTAATGCTGTTTTGCTTTTTTCATAAAACCAGAACATACGAATTTGTCTTCTTTGTGTTGCTTTTGTGTTAAATTTCTATTTTATAGTGAGTGTAACTCTGATTTTAAGATATACTGCCGTATGATGATGATCTCGATGTATTAGTATCTGAATATGATCGTTTGCGTCTGTTAAAAATCAAAGATTCAATCTCAGACGATCAACGCAGTTGGACAATGTTTTCACGTGGTAAGAATAGTTTAGCAAAGTTTTATTTTCGTGAATTAAAGAAAGCCGGTCGTACAAAGTGGAAATGGCCATTCATCGACATTTTTGGATTCCAAGAAAATTCTACTCATATTTGGTTTGAGGCTCCAGTTGATAAAAAATATATTTATCCCTTAGTTTTGAGACCAATCGCGTCACAATGGTTATGGTCACCACGAAGTATTTTCGGATATTATCAATCATTACAAAAACGATATGAGCTTTACTCTGAATCGCCATCTTTTGATCAGACATGTTTACAACAACGTTATTCTCATCGATTCGAAGAGGAAAGACATAAATTTACAGCTGTTAATTGTAGTCAGTTGCATAATATTTATCCATATATTCGGCGGACGTGTAATGAGACAAAGTGTTTTGAACATTTAATGATTAATGAGAATACAACAATGTATTCATTGAACATGGATAAAGATGCTTATGCTCATCTGTGAGGCTGATATTTTTTCTGCCTTGACGTAAATCTGAGATAAAAAACCATTAAACTCTCGTTACAAAGTTATTTAAAATCATTTTATCTTTTTACGTATAACATTGCACTTTAACTTAACGTTAGTGTTATCGTGCGTTGAACGATACATAAATAGCATTAAAAAAGTTGAAATATGCACAAAAATGAAGTATGTTTTTCTATGATTGTATTAAACTACTACACTATAAAATAAAGTCATTCTGGACCTTATTTTGTCAGATATTTTTAATCATATCGAATTTTATCTTTTTAACGTTATTTTATTTCCAGAGACAAATCTGAGAGTGTAAGAAAGTGTGTGTAATAGACCCCGTCTGCGATGTTGCCCTATTATCGTTTGATATCGTTCAATTATCTTCAGGTTTTATATAGAAAAAGTTGATGTCGACAAACGAATAACAACTCGAATAGATCTTTTCTATTAGCTCATTATATGTTAGATTTCGACTCAAGAGGTTGAATGAAAAAAGTGTTTCATTCTGATTTGAATTAGATCAAATAAAGAAAAAAGGGACTTGTGATGATTCCTGTTCGCAGTCACTGCGCTCACATGTTAGTCTTTTCATCAAAATATGATCATCTAATAAATATTTGTAATCATTTAAGTATCTTTTAATTTTATTGTATAAAATTAATGTGGCACTGTATGTAAACTTTATATTGAACTGCAAACCATCGTTTGTCATTGTTTGATTTGGTGCAAACATCTGGATGAACTCGTGTGTCATATATTCTTGTAAATTGACTCGATCTTCCTTTGAAATTTTGACAAATGCTTGTGGCACCAAACTCAGTACATCCTGGATTTTTGCACCCGCATGGACCCATCCTAGACTGGACGCAAAACAATTCAAGTTTTTTCCTATCCAGGTTCCATCTTGACATAAAGGAAATCGAAGCGTACTGATGCCGCTTCATCGAAGTTCATCAGTACCAATTCAATGTTACTCGATCATTGATAGACAGATAAGACAGATATTGTTGTTGAGGCTGAGGAAGACTATCGTGAGCACGACTTGAACGCTATAAAGAAACATAGATGCATCATCCAGGATTGGTTCGATTTGTGGAAGAATTTTCAGATATACTACTAGAAAACTGTTGGACGATGTGTTATGCATAAACTATTGATACGTGATATTTAAAAAAGATTATTGATTTGATTGTTCTTAAATAACCGTTTGGTTTAATTCAGTTTCAAGAAAACCCACGAACGTTTCTATCTGTGGTACAATAGTATTACTTAAAGAGTATGACACGTTTCTAGTGAGAATCATAGCAGGCGGAATTGAATTCTTTTCGTGGACGTCTCACTCCATTCATTCTAATACCGAGTACTTGAACGTTTTACTCAGGTTTTTTTTGCAATGTGGAATGACAGCTGAGTGAATTAATGACTTTACCTCGTTCTCGATGCACTCTCTCTTCTTCTGCAATCTTTCGGATGATCTGGGCATTTGAATCAGTTAGTTGGTTGTCTCCCGTGTGAATGTGAAACTGATGTGGTCTGGCTGACCTGAATTGATCTGAGAGAAGGTTGAGAGTTAATCAATGGTATGCAGCGATCGTAGACGACTTTTTAAACGTCGTTGTAGTGTCGATCGATCAATTCTATGTTCAATATTGACATCTTTCACAAATTTGATTATCAGATTTATAAACTTTGCATAGTTATTGTCGTTCAACTCACTGGAACTTGTGAACAGATGGTTACTAATTGTGCACGGCATTACAACTTGAACGAGGTCTTCTGTCAGTCAAAAATTGAGCTGCAAATCGTCAACAATATCGATATTCATTTCTTCATGTGGTGTTGCAACGATGTTTGCAGGGGATGATACGAGATCAGAAATATTATGAATCACAATAAAACTGATATTGATATAAAATTGATAAGCCAAGTTTCATACGTCATTCGATTCGCCTTGAAACGAAGAAAAAAAGTATGAATCGCTTTCTTTTTAAAAATGTTTTTCGTTCTTGAGATATTTGAATTTTATTAAAATTTAGCCGTTTTCGCCTAAAATCAGACAAGTCGTTTTTCGTTAACTTTTTCATTTTTCATCCAAAATTCTTCAAACTAACAGACAATAGGTAAGAAACGATGCTAAATCTAATGAAAACATTTTCAAGGTCTCCAGGTGATTTCTGGAAGGTCTCTGGAAAACTTTGTGCCATATCTCGTACATGATTGTGAGTTTATTTCAAACTTTTTTATTCTTTTCTTACAAAATTCTTCTTGTTCTTTAAAATATGAGGTGATAACATTTTCAATAATGAAAACATTTTCAAGATCTGCAGGTGCTTTCTGGAAGGTCACTGGAAACCTGATGGTTAGGAAAAGCGAAATTTTCGTATCACTACGTACAAAATGGGCCGTGAAAGCGTGCCAGCTTGCTCATCAGGCGAAAAAGGCTGCGTGTCCGCCGTGTAGGAGAAAACAAACAATTGAGAGGGAGATATATATTTACGAACAGTGATTTCTCACTCGTTTTATTTGATTTTTAACTTTTAATTTTATTCATAAGTGTTAGGGTATAGTATATTCAGATATTTCATTTATCTCTCTCTATCTGCACAGCGAAATCATCATTGTATTCAAGAAAGACAATATCATCCTCTTTTCACTCAGTCTATTTTCTTTCGTTTGTTCATAAGAGAAACCTTTCTTTTCTTCTGTCTGGTGGCATATATTTATCTGCTTTTCTGTGCATTTGAGTGTGGTATAAGTGTGTTTAAAAATAAAAGTTGGGAATTCAAAGAGAAACACGGTCACAATAAATATGCCACTCAGTAAAAGAAAAGGCACATAATCGTAATTTATTGAGCAAGAGATGGTGTACTGGTAATTTTTTTGATAAACTACCGCAGCAACAATCATCATCAAGTGAAGCGAAGAATTTATTAACCTACAGCCAGATACCATCGACTTTACCAACAAGCAAATTTCAACAGACATCGGTGACTTATATACATTATGTGCACAACAATGTCATCCAAAATTTTTAAGTACCATGATCTATATGATTTTGAGACATTTAACTTTATCATGGAGAGATACTGATCAATTTTTAAGTTCATTTGGAACAATAGGCATCCTAACGTGTCACAAATGGGCTAAAACATTTTTATGTGAAGATTTCAACGATTCTGTAAGTGAAAATAGAGGTGGGAAGCACACCGATGGATTTTATGACGTTTTTCCTCAGTTGGAGATTCAAGGTAGAGCGTTTGTGGTCGATGTGTGTGCACAAAAGTCAAGTAGTTTTAAGGCGGCAGATTTAGCAACATTTATTGATGAACGTTATTATAAAATCAATAATCTGAAGAAATCTGCGAATAATTTAATTCGTTCAATTGAGAGCTGTCGTTTGGACGTACGACGCTGGGGTGGAAGACATGAGGCCAACAGTAATCGTCCTTATTTTGAAGGCCACGAACGCGCCGATATTATTGCTCACCGGAAAGAATTCATTCAGCATTTTTTATCAAGAAAAGCTGAATATTATACTATAACAAATGATGAATCTCCCAAATGGGTTATACGCACTACACCACGCCGTACCATTCTTATTTGTAAGTGAAGAAAATGTAGCTTTTTCGAAAGTTCTCACCCAGATATGTTTATTTCTTTTGTGTGCTTCGATATATTTCTAGGCCACGACGAAAGCACTTTTCGTAGCGGTGAGATTAGTCCACATCGATGGATTATCGACGACAATGCACCATTCTTCAGTAAAGGACGAAGTCGTAGTCACATGTTAAGTGATTTTTTAGTATTACATCCATCACCACGTTTCTTTCGTTTAAATCAAGAAGAGTGGAATGAAGCAACAAAGAAATATCCAGAATTATTACAAGATAGTGATATTACATATGAAAAACATTCAGCATCAGCAGCAATTAACATAGGTGGTGATCTGTATATGGATAATTCATTAGTTTTGGAGCAATTTGAGAGATTTTTTAACTTACTTCAATTCAAAAAGGAATACAAGGATCATTCGTCTGAGATTTTAGTGGATAACGCGAGAACACACACCAAAAGACAGTATAGCCTTCATGACTTTGGTAAAAGTCCAGGCACCCGTTGTCCAGTACCAACAATTGAATTCACTGACAACAAAAATGTGAAACAAACTGTAAATTGTTATTTTACTACTGGAAATTTAAAAGGACAGTCAAAAGGACTTTTAAATATTGCACTGGATCTTGGTATACGTGTGCCTGTAGGCTGTAAACTTGATGAATTGAAAGCTCTCTTACTCAGACATCCTACATTTAAAAACGTAAGAAAAACAGATTAGAATTAAAGGAGTTTCTTGTTTTCATCTAAAAGGTTTCTCTTCGAATTCTATTGATTTTGTAGGTTACAAAATTAGAAAAGTTAGCTTCGGAATTTGGTGTAAAAGCTTTATATGGGCCGAAGTATCATTGTGAATTAAAGCCTATAGAGCGTATGTGGTGCCATATGAAAAGATACGTGAGAAACCACAACGATCAAAGTTTTACTAGAATGATTTCATTAATTGATGATTCACGAATTAATTTTGAAAAAAGAAATATACATGAAATTGTGCAGAAGATTTTGGAAAACTCTCACTGCCTATGAAGAAGGAAAGGACTATAAACATGTTCTACAAATGTTTTTTTCTAACCTTTATAAAGACAATATCGTATCTCACCGTAAAATAGTCGACAGTAAACTGGATAGTTAGTGCGTTTTACTTTTAATACATGTTTTATTTATGCTCACATTACTCAGATATATTTTGGTTTTTTAATTGCTTTTCTATACTCAAGATACCTCATATTTTAAAGAACAAGAAGAATTTTGTAAGAAAAGAATAAAAAAGTTTGAAATAAACTCACAATCATGTACGAGATATGGCACAAAGTTTTCCAGAGACCTTCCAGAAATCACCTGGAGAC